TGAAACCCCCCAAGGAAACTTCCTTCGGCCCAGAGGACGCCCCGAATTTCCTTGAAACCCCCCAAGGAAACTTCCTTCGGCCCCGAGGACGCCCCAAGGAGTGTCGAACGAGCCCCTTAGCGTGCACTTGACTCTCAAGTATTTTCAAGTGGTGTTGAACGAGGCTCTTACCTTTCATTCCCCAAGTGTGGCACGTAGATGCATGGTTACTCAAGAAACTTCACAGTTAGCAAGGGATCAGAGTTCTTCCCGAACTTGGTTTGGACAGTCCCCATCTGTCCAGGGCTATCCTTGGGACCCTTCCACAAACACATTTGCTGGTCAGGGTTTCAGCTTCACTGATGCAGATGAGGCGGACCACTCACTCTTGGAATGTTCTTCGCAACCTAAGCAGAGGTGGACCCCACTTCGAAAAAGCCCTCTCTCAATTTCACCACCCACTCCCTGGCCTAGCCCTTTTCATTTCCACTGATGGCCAAAAACCTTTGGAAGGGTCTCTCTCCACTACTCTCCACTCTCCATGCACGGCTCCACTTACCCTCCATGGACCCTGCCAATTCATTAGTACTTGGAGTGCATAAGAACACATCTCCACTAGCACAAAAAGACAACTGGAGGCTCCCGTTTGTCTCTGCCCAGCCTCCAGGCCTACTCTCCAAAAGAGAGCGCTGATCACCCTCTCTGCCTACGGCAGGACTGTCGGAATACTGGCTGTTGCAGCCAGGGGACTCCCCAAAACTTGGAGAGTGCCTTTCGAGGTCATGTTCTGACAGCTCTCCCAAAGTTTTTCATGGCCTCCAAAATAAAATAAAATAAAATAAAATAAAAAAAGTTTTTCCATGGCCCGAATCGTATAGTTAGTGGAGGGGCGTGGAACTGTCCAAATTTGGAGGGTGGAGAGTAGTGGAGGGAAACCCGAAAGGTTTCGGAAAACTCGGAGTTTTCTCTGAGGGCGTACTCACACTAGCAGTATCTCAAACGTATATGACCGCATTCACGGCCATACCTTAATGTATCTGGCCGCAATTCCGTCCACAAATGCGTAAAAAAGTCCTAGTGTGAGCGTGCCCTGAGTTCAGCCCCCTTTTCCCTGGGTCCTGGAGAGCGTAAGGGGGGCTGGGCTACCCACCCGTTGGAAACGGAAGAAACAGAAACTTGGCAAAGAGAAGCCACCAAGGGATACCCCCGGGTGATGTACTTAACCACTGACCAGTTTTTTCGTCTCTTGTTCAGGTGTCCAAATCCTGTGCCTGGACCCCACGACACAACCGAATCTCAAACAAGTTTCCCACACCGAAGTCCGGCCAAGTGTGCCCATTCACACCTCAGAAAGTGGGTTTCCACAGCGATGAGGGGGGTTTCATCCCCTTTAGTGTAGACGTGCGTCCCCCTCGCTTTGAGAACTGTTTTTCTTGGCTCGCCAAGTTTCTTCGCGGCTTCCCACTTGAAAGGGATGCTCTTACCACCCCGAACCGAAGTTAACAAAAAAAAAAAAAAAAAAAAAAAGTTCCTCGGCGGCCTGCGGCCAATGGTTCTCGTTCACTCACTCTCTCACTCATCTCCCCCTCTCTCTCTCTCTCTCTCTCTCTCTCTCTCTCTCTCTCTCTCTCTCTCTCTCTCTCTCTCTCTCTCTCTCTCCCCGCCCCCGGCAAACACGTACGTGTCAACGTAAGCACCCCTGCTGGACATGGCAATCAACTCGCTGGGATGAACATCAACAGAGAGCGTGGCTCCCATCAACGCATCATGCCGCTGTGCAAGGCAACACGCCGAAAGGAAGGGGAAGTTGGGTAGGCGACGCGTTTTTTTTTTTTTTTTTTTGGGAAAGCTCATAATATATTGGGCGACGCGGTTTGCGCGGCCGGCAAAGAGGAATTGAGGGAAGAGATAAGGAAATTGGAGCTGATCTTGTAAATATGATTGCCTCGCTGATCTGGTCACTCAGACGCTGCCAACTACCGTGAGCTCTGTGCTCAGTCTGTTCAGAATTGCATCCCGTGAAAGCCAGTCGGTGTCCTTCGGGACATCCGTTAAAATTGGAACGATACAGAGAAGATTTGCATGGCCCCTGCGCAAGGATGACACGCATAAATCGAGAAATGGTCCAAATTAAAAAAAAAAAAAAGAAAAAAAAGGCCAGTCCGTAACCTTTTTTTTTTTTTTTTTTTTTACCAAAAACACCCATAAAACACAGCTAGGGGTAAGTGGTATTCTTTTCTTCTCTTCTCTTTTCTTTTCGTTTTATTTGGACCGTTTCTCGATTCCTACGTATCATCCATGCGGGCCGTGCTAATCTTCCCTGTATCGTTTTAATGCTAACGGGGGTCAAGTCCCACATACCCGAATGATCCATTTCTGACCGCAGATTTGGAAGATCAACGACCAGAAATCAAGGATCAGCGTAAGTGGGACTTGGCCCCGGATGTCCCGAAGAGAGGTATTCTTAAAGCGAATACTAACGGCTCCGACAAACTGCTTGATGCTCTCCTACGCTACCGTCTTCACCCGAATAGAACGCCCGATCATAATAGCTGCATTTAGCCCAACTTTCAGTCTAAATACAGCGATAATGACCGGGCGTTCTATTCGGGTGAAGACGGTAGCATGAACCAACATCAGAGAAGCAAAATTCGAGCCTCGTCACAACACTCACGATCAGCAAAAAATGGCGAGTGGATCTTCACACACATGCATCTTGGCACCTTCTACGTGAAGTTGCACGCGCCACTTAGCTGTTCGCGAGACGAACGCGTGGCCAGATTCCTGACCAGGTACGAAGCATCGGGCACCAATACTTCACACATTGTTACACCACCAGTACCCCGCCCTTTCATACATAACAGCCAGTAACTACGTGGATGAAGGAACTTGAAGTATTGCTTTCTTTTCGTCAGCAGATGGCATCTAAATACTGCCAAGATGTAACTACGAGGATGAAGTATTTCTTTCCTTTCTTAATCAGATGGCATCTAAACACTGTCAAGAGGCGAATGCGAACATTGCGTAGCTCTTCTAAGGTGCATGATATTCTCTGAACATCGAACGCGCTAAGGATATGGTAAGGCTTTCTCCCTTCGTCTCCTCCTCTACCCCGCTTCCAAAAACTTTGTTGTTCCATGCTTGCCGGTAATAAGCAACCGGACTGCCGCCCCCCAGTATAGATGGAGCCTCTGTTTGGGGGGGGGGGGGGGGGAAAGAAGAAGAAGAAGAAGAAGAAGAAGAAACCCCACAGCCTGTTCCTCGTGAAAGCCGTTCAGCCCTTCCGAATTGATGCGCAGAAAGACTCGTTTCGGATTTTTTATTTTTTTTTACAATATTTCGGATTTCCAATTATGCTTACCTTCTTCCCGGGAACATAACGCCGCATGCTCATAACAGTATAGAGAGCCTTGTCCGAACAGTATAGAGACCATTTTGCGGTCCACATACATTCATATTGCTGGGGCATTGTGTTCGAGGAAACAAGGTATTTTGTGCGCTCTGCAGAGGCCATGCTAATCCTTTCTCCGTATCGTTGCAATTACGACGGATGGCGTGGAGGACAGGCGCGCAATCACTTCGGATATTTAACATGGGGGCTCCGCTACGCAGTATGCTGCGATTCTGCGCTAATTTCAGGTGAACATGGTCAACATTACAGCCAGGTTCTTGGATAGTACAAGCTTGAGGTAATCTAGGAACTCACCAGGACCGTCCGCTGAGTATCATCGAGGTCAGCCCGAGAAATGACGCTACCGAGAACTTGCATCACGTACTGCGGGCGGTGTGACGCACTTAAAACCGGCTGGAGTTCCTCGGCTAATAGCACATCCGTCAAGTCCTCCTCCAGATCTCCCTCCTCAACGAAATGCTCCTTCAGGACATAAGGGAGTGCTCTCAAATGCCGTACAAACAGCAGCCGCTTCTGCTCATGGTCCGGGTGTCGAATCCAGGTGATGCCTTGGCGAGCCATGTCCTTGATCTTGCACAGGATCGTTTGCCAGTTATTACGCGCCTCTTCGAAACGTCCATAAGAGGCATCGGTGCGGAAAACGAGGAGCAGAGCAAGAGCTGGAGCGGTGAGCTCGAAAGGGAGAGTGGACACGTGGAGCAAGGGGAAGAAAGGGGGCAATAGGTGATCGGTAACGAGGTCGTTGATGAGAGCGACGGCCAAGGCGACCATTGTGACGGTGGCGACGGGGGGGGCAAGAGCAAGAATCACTCTAGAAGAAGCGATAGAGCTGATGTGGCGCCCATATCTCCGGCTGCTGCGATGACGAGACCACTCCTCGTGAGTGTAGAAGGTTCTTTTATACCGCAAACTTTCCTCTTTCTCATTGTCCGCCAAAGAAGGATCCATGACAGCCATCGGTATCTTAGCTATCAGTTCCAACGACGACATGAAGCCGCCCTTCCTCCTCCTTGCTCCCCCTTCAGCGACAAACGGTATTCCCCCTCCTCCTCCTCCTCCTCCTCCTCCTCCTCCTACGTCTCCGAGAACCTGTCCAAGCCCCCCCATCGTTTCCCCGCCAACCGGACCAGGGGAAGAAGGAGATGGAGACCGAGGAGGAGGAGGGGGAGCAGATTGCGCCTGAGATCGAGCCTGGCCCATTGATCTTTTTCCTTCGGCAGAGTTTGACTCTCCTGCAGCTGCTGTTGCTGCTACTCCCCGTGGACGGAGGAAGCTGTCCGGGCGATGGCGAAGATGGAAGCCGCCAAGAATAGATTTCCCAAGGAACATCCGTCGGCATTCGTTCAGCTCCCCCCCCCTTCTTCCCCGACGATTTTCCGCGAAATCGGCGAACCCGGTGTGCGCTAATCGCCTTTCTACACGACTTCGTCGTTTTCTTGCAGCTACCACCATTCGATCGCAGCAGTGCAGCCTCTCGTGCTCCTTCCTCGAAAATGCCGCATCTGATTGGTTGTTTCTTCCCCCATGGTGTCTCACGATGTCACCCACACAGCCCAGCGCGCCCTTATAACTCAACGCCGTCGTCATTCCCCCGTGGTTGCGCGCAGTTGCGCCGTCAAGGCGATAACGGCAACCACGGCGGCCTCGTGCGAGGCCACGCTGGCTTCCTGCGATGGGCCGATGCTCGTGTCTGACAGCTCCACATGACGCCGTCGAGGACGACGAAGAATCGGCAGAGAAGGCCCAAGGCCGATGGCCAGAGAATTGGTAATGGCTATGGCGAGCCAAAAAGGTGGAAAAACAAGACGAATGGGAGTGGGAGGAGGCGTGCGTAACGGAATGTAAAGAAATGCGTCGGGGAAAAGAAGATCGACGGTGAGCAGCCAAGTCTATTCTATGTACGCCATGTCGTCTGCCATTCACGGAATGTGTGCAGGGGCTGGGGGCAGCGGACGAGTCGTCGCGGCCCGCAGCAGAGCTTTCCGATGGGTAGGAAGGACGCGGAGGGCAGGTGAGATCGACGGCTCTCTGGAAGATGGCGAGGGATCGAGCCACCGTCGTCGTCATCCTTCCCCGCGCAATTGGGAGACAAGCGAACGGGAGAAGGCGACGTACAGGGTGAAGCGACAGACAAAGCGAGAGTGGAAGTATGAAAAACAACCTCCCTCGTCGACTCGAAAAGAAGGCAAGCAGTAGCTGACAACGTACAAAATTATGCTGTAGCTGCGGCGGCGGCAAACCAAAGGAGTCACCGGCCGGAGAGCACGATCAACTACCTTCTACTGTCGCTATCTCACAAATCATCCAACGATGGGCATCTGGATCTCAGCGCGCGCTTGGCGCCATATCGACCTCTCGAAACAACGATAACCGATCTCGTGGGTGGAGTTAGCGCGAGCGGGAAGTATTGCACGAGACTGAACAAGACAAAAGGCGGCGATTGCAGCAGCGGGAAAGGTGAATCCCGCGGAGAGTCGTTCGGTGTGTGGGAGACTGGGAGTGCGTCGGGAGGTGTACAAGATCCCGGCGAAGAGTGCTACTACTTCTTATAGGCGTAGGACAGATGGTTGCCGACGAGCGCGCCCCAACCATTTACCCTGGTCCTTTGGTCCCGACCGATTCGTTCGCCCCGTCCAGCCGATGCTTCGCTCTCAACCCGCTGTCGGGCTTCCACCTGTTTGCAAATGCAAACTCGAGAAGCGGGGACGTCAAGTTCCATGAGTATCCAGCGGCTTAACTCAGTTGGTAAATTGCCTCACTAACAATAGTGGGATCCAAGCCTAAGGCTCGCAAGTTGCATGACTGCATGTGCGGCCCCCGCGTAAAAGGCTCCGGTGAAAAAGAGGACATTCATCAGTCAGAAATAAAGTAGGCGGCGGCTGGTCGGTGGACACGGCGACACGAATGCATGCCAGGGGACAGTGAAAAAGGCCGCTCGACGGAAGAAAAAAAAAAGGGCTGTGAAGGACGCAACAACGCAAAGGCGTCTCGACGGCGTTCGGCGAAATGGCAGTTGCGCGACTCCCTGCCGTTCATTTCATTTTATTTTCTATTCTTTTTTTTCATGTCATTTCGTTTTGTTTTCTTGTCTTTTTTCCTTTTCGCAACAGGGCTCCTTCTTTGGGGAACTGCGTGGACAGTGCCAACTCCCAGCAGCCTGATATCTCCCGCTCAACCCACTCTTTCGTTGGAGGTAATGGAAGGCCATCGTTTTCTGTGGCCTGCTGCAGGTGACAGTTCTGCGGGGAAGGAGCTGCTCGCAGCCAGGCCCTACTGATATCATGTCCATGCTAAGAAAGTATGAACCTGATTGAAGGATGAGCGAGTTTCACTGTCAAATGAATAGCAGCTGAGGGTAATGGGCCTACCAACAGGCATTGCTGCACAGGGGATGTCCCTTTTCTTTTTTTGGCCCGAGGGATCACGGATCAGACATCAAACTGACCAGAACAGATACTACACTTGATCTTAGCCAAAAGGCCGAGAAAGGTATGACAGGGGATGTCCCAAGCCGAGCAAGACTGAATAGTGCTGCGTTGACACTGACTTGTCTCCTTGATTTGCAGCAATGAACTCGGGGCAAGTATGGTAGCTCAGTTGATAAGAGCTCTCGCATCGCAACAGAGACGTAAGACGTTACCTCTCCTGTGCATGCTCAGTTGGTTCTAGAATGGCATCCCACACACTTGCCCCAAACCTACCGCAGCAGATAGAATATTGTGAAGGCTTTGGGGAGCAATGTCTAATGGGGTATCACTGAGAAGGAAACTAGCCAATCTTTGCAGAGCAGGAGTAGATAAGGGAATGAGAGGGCCCTATGGGGCATTACCATGGGGAGATTATTTTGGGAGGGCATGAGTAGAGGTCATCAGCTAGAGACCTATTCTTAGAGGCAATAAGAGCGCCCTCCAATAATTGGCGTCACAATTAGACGGCTCCAATCTATTGGTGGAAGCTGCACCTGCTGGAAACCGGGTCCAGCGCCCCACTTACAGGAAAACCACGGAATGGATCAAGATGTAAGTTGGTCTATAATAGGCCGCATTGATTATCCTCACTCGAGGGGATAAACCGCCCACCAATATGGTCGATTAAGCATATCCTCACTAACGCACATGTTCGAATACAAGTGCACAGTCTCTCACCACATGTGGTGACTATGTACTTGTATTCGAACATGTGCGCGCATGCGGTGAGAGACACTTGTACTTGTATTCAAACATGTGCGCTCATGAGGTGAGAGACACATGCACT